GGACATAACTAAAGCATAGCGAATAATCAAAACAATATGTAATTACATATGTGTTTTCCGATGGTCTTAGGCAACCCCTGTGAAAGGGTCGTTCTACCCCCAAAGGGGTCGCGACCCACAGGTTGAGAACCGCTGTGCTAGGTAGAGCAGCTCCCAGAATTCAAGAGAAACATACTCACCACTTACTAGATGACCCGTCTGGAATGAAAGGATATGAGGCAGGAGCAGCCAGGTGGGAGGGCCAGGCACAGGGGAAGGCTCGGAGTTTCACGCCCTCTCCTGTCGCCACTCTCCCCAAATTTCCACGCGCTCACCAACCCCAAAGAAGCTCTCCCTCCCCCCCACACTCCCCCCACACACTTTCGGGTGCTTATGGAGCCTTCATTACATAGGCCTGATTGACTAAAGTCTTGGCCATTGGCGATTGCACTTCCCGCTTTGGGAAGTCAGGGTCTGGGCCTGCAAATCCAAGCCTGACTGGTTTCCCTGGCAACCAGCCACCATCCTGAGGTGCTTTCATTAACCTAAACCCAGGTGCAGGAGCAAAGGGCTCGCTATGAATATCAAGATGCCTTTGTTACTCTCGTTGCTTAGAAATCTGAAGACTTTCAGGAGCTCTGTGCCAGGAATGGGGACCAAGACCAAATATCTATACAATATACAGTATAAATCACCATAGCAAAGGGACCTACCCTTCTTTTTTTAAAAAAATATATTTTTATTGATTTCAGAGAGGAAGGGAGAGAGAGAGATAGAAACATCAATGATGAGAGAATCATTGAACAGTTGCTTCCTGCACACCCCCTACTGGGGATCCGGCCCACAACCCAGGCATGTGCCCTGACAAGGAATCAAACCTTGACCGCCCAGTTCATAGGTCAACGCTCAACCACTGAGCCACCCCGGCCTGGCAGGGACCGACCCTTCTTACCCACCCATTTCCTTGGTTGCCTAGTGTCGGGTGATTCAACCCTCCTCCCCTGCCTGCCGCAGTCATCGGTCGGCAGGGACCCTTGGCCCAGAGCGAGGCCCCCGCCCGCCTGGAGCTGGTGCTGTGTCTTTTCAGATCCCCCGGAGAACCTGACCGTGACTGTCTCCCGAGCTAATGGGACAGGTAGGAGAGGAGGACAGAGGCCTCTCAGCGCCCAGTGGCGGGGGGTGGGGTGCGGGCATCTGGGGTGTGCGCCTGCGAAGGGTCCGGATGCCCTCAGCTGTGTGTCTGTCCTGCCCCTTCTCTCCCCTAGTCCTGGAGACGCTGGGGAACGGCGCGTCCCTCCCGGTCCTGGAGGGCCAGAGCCTGCGCCTGCTCTGTGTCACCCACAGCAACCCCCCAGCCTCGCTGAGCTGGGCCCGCGGGCCACACACCCTGAGCCCCTCCCAGCCCTCAGACCCCGGGGTCCTGGAGCTGCCTGGGGTACGAACGGAGCACGAAGGCGAATTCATTTGCCATGCTCAGAACCCGCTGGGCAATCTCAGCGTCTCGCTGCGCCTCTCTGTGCACTGTGAGTGGCGGATGGGGCACCTGGGGGCAGGACACCGGGGTCCTGGGAGGACAGAGGCACCTCTGACCCGTCCCCTCGCCCCCCCACAGACCCCCCGCAGCTGCTGGGACCCTCTGCTCCTGGGGAGGACCAGGGTCTGCTCTGCAGCTGCTCCGGGCCCCTCCCTGCGCTGGCGGCTGGGGGCGGGGCTGCTGGAGGGGAACCATGGCAACGCGTCCCACGTGGTCACCTCCAGCTCAGAGGGGCCCTGGACCAACAGCTCCCTGAGCCTCAAGGAGGGGCTCAGCCCTGACCTCAGACTCAGCTGCGAGGCCCGGAATGTGCACGGGGCCCAGAGCGCCTCTGTCCTGCTGCTGCCAGATCAGGGCCCTGGAGGTGGGGCCTGGGTGGCGGGGGACAGGGGGTAGGAAGGGGGGGTCAGGGGCGGGGTCCTGTGGTTGGAGCTGGAGCTGAGGAGGGGAAGGGGGCTCCGAGGGGGAAGGTGCAAAGCCTGGGCCTGGGGTTTGAAAGAAAAGGAGCAGAAGGGGTTGCAGGTGAGGAATGGGAGCTGGAGGCCCGAGAACCGGGGGCGGAGGGCGGGTGGAAGGACCCGCGTGGGGGTGGGAGCGGCTCCGGGACGGCTGACCGTTTCCACGCACAGAAGAGAAGGACCTCATCGCGAAGGGCTTCTCTAAAGGAGTAGCTCTGGGCACCGGCGTCACCATCCTCCTCGCCCTCGGCCTCTGCCTGTGCCTCATCCTGGCCGTGTGAGTTAGGAGCGGGAGAGGGGGTGCGGGGACCCGGGCGGGAGGCGCCGCACACCGAG